CTGTTCTGTGAACCTCAGAAGTGAAGCTCTTATCACAAGCACTTACAAAGCAAACCAGAAAAGCTCTATGCTGAGAAGTAAACACAGCACACAGACGCCCTCTCCAGTCTTCCTTGTGTATCTGAAAGCTGGATGATGCCTGAGCAGAAAAGGAGTGGTTTTTTCCCCACTTAAAGTTGCCAGCAGCATTCACAGAAACAACATAGATTTCAGTTTGCAAAACAGAGGGCTAAGGAAGAGCAGAAAAGTTTCCTCATTCACCAGAAGAGCGCTTGCAGCAGTCAGGAATGATGCAAGAAACAGAAGCAGATGAGAACTGAAGGGCCAGGTTTCAGTCAGAGCACACACATACAGGGTCAGAGCTGTACCTGCTCTAAAAGGAGACTGTTGCTAAGCTGTGGTTGCTTCACTTGGACTGCAAGACATGCATGTAATTTAGAAATTACTTCAGCTGAAAGGAGATCATCTATTTCTTCAGTGCAAAGGTCAGCATGCAGAACCTATTACAACTTTAGTATTGCTGAAGGAAGAACTAGAGGCATTTTGAGGCACTTCTGCATCTCCAACACAGCTGGTCTGTGCACAGCACTGCAATAAGCACACGCAATTTCAGACTCCCAGTGTGCAGAACCAGCAGAGCAGCACTCCCTTTCCCTGCTACTTTAAGGAAAAGCTCCACGTGAGATCACTTGAGACTGTTTCTCTTCTCAATAATCCCATAAAAAGGACTTGTAAGGTCATATTTAGTTGCAGGAAAAACCTCCAGAAATTAAAGAGCACCTTGAGGGCTGGTAAATAGTGAAAACACTTTCATACAGAACACAAATCACGAAAGTGGGAGAAGAGACAACAAACCTGACACGATATCACAGCTGTAGTGCACTAATAAAACAAGGCAGTGCCAAAGAGGAGATTCCTACAATCCTTATTGGCTTGAAGAGCCCTCTTATTGCATTCCCTCTAGCACTGAGAAGAGCATTCTCTCCCATCATTTTGTATATGGACAATTACTCACACAAAGCCGTTCTCAGAGAGGAAAATGTCCACTCCAGAGACCTTTTAACACTCCTAGTTTCTTTGGTATTAACTAATTTTTTTTAGTGAAACTCAAAAACCCTTTAGAGAAGAGAAAGCTCTGGGGAGACCTCATTTTGGCCTTCCAGTACTTGAAGGGAGCATATAAACAGGAGGGGGAACGGCTGTTTACAAGGGTGAAGAAGAATAGGATAAGGGGGAATGGTTTTAAATGAGACAGGGGAGGTTTAGTTAGATATTAAGAGGAAGTTTTTCCCCCAGAGGGTGGTGAGGCACTGGAACAGGTTGCCCAAGCAGGTTGTGGATGCCCCATCCCTGCAGGCATTCAAGGCCAGGCTGGATGTGGCTCTGGGCAGCCTGGTCTGCTGGTTGGAGACCCTGCACATAGCAGGGGGTTGGAACCAGATGAGCACTGTGGTCCAGATTAATTTAAGAGAGGAGAACAGGGGAGATTTATATTATATTACTAAACTAAAAAGAGGACTACAGTGAAGCAGCACTGGATTAAGGCCAGAAAGGGGGCTGTCACTCAACAGAACAAGGGAAGCACAGTGAGGAAACAGCATACAGAACAGAAACAATGTGGAGAAGATTCATCTCTGAAGTTTCTGTGACAAAAGGAGCTGGGCAAGGGTAAAGTGCCACTGGAGAGCCACCACACCGCTTCACCACACAGTCCTGGCAAGGAACATCACAGTGCTAAGTGCTAATAATTCCAGGAGGACCAGGGGGGGGAGAATCACAGAATGGCTTGGGTTGGAAGGGACCTCAAGGATCATGAAACTCCAACCCCACCACCACATATAGGACCATCAACCTCCACATTTCATAGCAGACCAGCTGCCCAGGGCCCCATCCAACCTGGCCTTGAACACCTCCAGGGATGGACAGGGCATCCACAGCCTCTCTGGGCAGCTGTTCCAGCACCTCACCACTCTCATAGTTAAGAACTTCCCGCTGACATCCAACCTCAGTCTTCCCTCCTTCAACTTAAATCCATTTCCCTTTGTCCTGCTATTATCTACCCTTTCAAAGAGTTGACTCCCCTCCTGTTTGTAGGTTCCCGTTAGGCACTGAAATGCTACAGCGAGGTCACCCCGCAGCCTTCTTTTCTGCACGCGGAACAAGCCTGAAGAAACCCGACGGGCGTTAAGAGCTGCGAATGGAGCCCGCCGAACCCCGAGACAACCGCGCAGGAGGGCAGGGAGGCAGGCGGGAAGGGCCGCACCTTTTCTCAATGCAGTCGATATTGGAGTGCAGCAGCCACAGCTCCTCCTCGTTATCCTGGCGCCGAGAGGAGAAGATGAGGTGGTGGCCGGTGAGGCACAGCGTTCCCTCCACGGTCGGGTGGAAGGGCCGGTGCAGGACGGCGTTGTCCGCCCGGGGAGTCTTGATCAGCTCGGCGAACTCCATGCTGGCAGGGAACGAAGGAAACCGAGAGCACCGGCGCCGAGAGGGGCCCGGCCGCCGCCAGCAGCCCCGGGCCGGCGGGAGCGGAAGTGGAACGGGCGGACCGCCCGCCGCTAACCGGAGGAGGCAGCGATCATGTGACTCACGGCTGGCCAATAGTGGTCCGAGTGGGCGTGCTTGGAGAGGAACGGAACCCCGCCTCTACCGGAAGTGCTTCCCCTCATCGGTCCGGCGCACAACGTGCCCCGCGACCGCGCGTTCCGCGGCACAAGGCGGGCATGGAGGCACGTTGGGCGGGGCTGAGGAGGGCGGGCAGAAGGGGAGAGCGCAGAGCGCACGGATGGGCGGTGTCCAGTCCGCCCATCGCCCGCCCCGTGTTTGTAGAAGCATGGAGTCACTCACGTTGAAAAAGACTACTAGGATCCCCGAGTCCAAACCCAGCCCACCCGCTATATCCCTCAGTGCCACATCCCCACGGTTCTGAACACCTCCATGGGTGGTGACCCCGCCACCTCATGCAGCTGTGCCGCTGCATCACTGCTCTTTATGAGGAGAAATGTTCCTCATCCTATCGCCACCCCACCTCACCACACCTCCTTGAGGTTTTCCTGAGCTCTTCTGCTCCAGACTGACCCATCCCAGCTCCCTCAAGCACTCCTCAGAACATTTGTGCCCCAGACCCCTCACAGCTCCATCGCCCTGCTCTGCACAGACTTCAGGCCTCGATGTCTTTCTGTAGTGAGGGACCCAAATCTGAACACAGCACTCGAGGTGCGTGCCAAGCACTGCCTGCTGCTCTTTGCCTGAGGAAAACACAGAGCCTGCTTCTGGCTTTCTTCTCTATCATCACAGAATCCCAGCACTGCTGGGGTTGGAAGGGACCCCAATGGATCATTGAATCCAACCCCCTGCTAAAGCAGCTCCCTACAATGGGTCACACAGGTTGGCATCCAGACAGGTCTTGAATGTCACCATAGAAGGAGACTCCACCAGCTCTCTGGGCAGCCTGTGCCAGTGCTCTGTCACCCCTGCTACAAAGAAGTTCTTCTGCGTGTTAGTACAGAACTTTGTGTGTTCAAGTTGTAGGCCATTGTTCCTTGTCTTATTGCTATGCACCACCAAGAAGAGCCTGACCTCATCCATTTGCCTCCCACCGCCCTTCAGATATTTATAAACATTGATCAGATCCCCCCTCAGTCTTCTTTTCCCCCAGGCTGAACAGATCCAGGTCACTCAGCCTTTCATTTTTGAAAAGTTCTTTGAAAATTCTGGTATAAATCCACTTTCTCTTTCAAACATAAATCTCAGCCTGTGCCATAATCTGAGTTTTTAGGGGACAGTGATGCCCCGACACTGCTGGTCATGGATGGGCCCTGAGCTGCTGGGGGGGACACCCAGCCCACAGCAGGGGTTAGAACTGTGTGGGCTTTAAGTGATTGTGTGTGACTGTATGATTTCCCTTGTCCCTGTGCTCCTTGCACTGTGGTAGCATCATCCTGTGCATCATCCTGAAACTTTCTCAGTGTCAGAGGAATTGACTGTAGCTGCTACTCCATGGCATGAGATACCTTAATGGTTCTCTAACCATTAAGATTGGAAGAGACCTCTGAGATCCCCAAGCCTAACCCTAACCCACCCCCACCATGCCCACTGCCCACATCCCTCAATGCCACATCCCCACGATTCCTGAACATCTCCAGGGATGGTGACCTCACTATTTCCCTAGGCAGTATGTTCTAATGCCTGTACACAAGATGCAGAGAGACAAGTGTGCATTTTTCACAGAGTCACAGAATCACAGAATGTCCCAGCTTGGAAGACCTCAAGATCTTGAAGCTTCAACCCCACCACCAACACAGGCAGGGCCACCAACCACCACATTTAATACTAGACTGTCCAGAGTCCCATCCAACCTGGCCTTCAACACCTCCAGGGATGGACGGGGCATCCACAGCCTCTCTGGGCAGCTGTTCCAGCACCTCACCACTCTCATAGCAAAGAACTTCCCCCTGACATCCAACCTCAATCTTCCCTCCCTCAACTTAAATCCATTTCCCCCTGTCCTGCTGTTATCTCCCCTTTCCAAGAGTTGACTCCCCTCCTGTTTGTAGGCTCCCTTTAGGCACTGAAAGGCTGCAATGAGGTCCCTGCAGCCTTCTTTTCCCCAGGCTGAACAAGCCCAGCTCCCTCAGCCTGTCTTCGCAGGGAGGTGCTCCAGCCCCCTGATCATCTTTGTGGCTCTCCTCTGGACCGTCTCCAACAGCTCTCTGTCTTTCTGTACTGGGGGCTCCAGACCTGGATGCAGTACTCCAGATGGGGCCTCACAGTGTAGAATCAGCTCCCTGTCCCTGCTGGCCACCTCTCTTCTAATGGAGTCCAGAATATCATTTGCTTTTCGAGCTGCAAGAGCACATTGCTGGCTCAGGTTAGGTTTTTCATCCTTCAGG